TTGGCAGGCCTGCTTCACTGGTATCAATTCAGTTCTTCATTCCTTTCCACTTATGCAAATCCAACATACATGTACATGTATCGGCCATTTTTCCAGTAACTGCTTTTGTTATGGAGGGATAGCACAAAAGCTGTACTCATGTGTGTCCCTGTTGAACAAAAGCTCTCACCAGAAAAATGGCTGCCCTGCATAACTTTTATTTGACACTGTGCCAAACACTGACAAAGGTTTGTGTGCCAGCAGCTTGGAATTTCCTTGTTTCTTTCCTGACTTGCAGCTACATGTACATGTATGCAGGTATACGTGTAGATACATATGCTGAAGTCTGTTAAACAGACTGCAATGGATTTTTCGTACACACAATTTTTCAGCAATTTTGTAAAAGGTGAACTTTTGAAAGTCATTAAAATTATCAATGCTTGCCAGGCCTCCCGAGAGCATGTATTTGGCAAGGGTTGTAACCATGAACAGGGAACAAAGTTTCTTGTGGGATGCACTAGATGTTACATGCTTAAAATGTTAAAATTACATAATTAAAATGTTGCGCAGCTGAGCAACATTTCGTGAAATTGAATGTACATGTAAGTACATGTACAGTGGATATTGCACAGCTACGGCACGAATTTGTGGTACAAGGCTTACGCATGGTTCAGAGTTACGCCACATTTTCTGAAATCTGCTGCTTAGTGGACCTAGTGGCTGCTCACTGCTTGTAATCATATAATCATTATATTTTCACAGATACATCTTATATTCCAATGATACCCAAACTCAAGGAGGACGTATACAAGTAAGTGTTCATTTTTAAACACTCTAATCTCTTTTTTTTTTTGATAGGCCTACCCTTTCTCAAGAATACACAAACAGGTATGGGGAAAAAGAGGCCATAGTCAGAAGTTATGTAGTTCTAGAACTTTCTGTGCTTTGCTAGTTTTGAATCAAGAATTTTGTTCAGAGGGAACCGGTCTTTCCAAACTAGCCTCATCTAACTCCCGCCATTTTTGACAAAAAGTTATTCCCCAAGAAGTTTTCTTTCTGAGTAGCAAGATGAAATTTCCGTACGTAAGGAAATTTTTCTCTTCACAAACTGTGTGCATGAAAGAAGTTGAATGATATTTTGTGTCAGAGAAAGTAAATTGAATATGTATTAGAGAAAGCCTTGATGACTTCTCCATGTAGGTGTAGAGTTTATGTGAGGGTTAGAAAGAGAAATGCCAATGTGATTACTAGCACAGTGAGATGGTACCTGAGAGTTAGCCTATTTTTTTAATTCATAAGTGTATACATGCACTCTGCCTAATTATGAGATGGTACCTGAGAGTTAGCCTATTTTTTTAATTCATAAGTGTATACATGCACTCTGCCTAATTATGAGATGGTACCTGAGAGTTTGCCTATTTTTTTTAATTCATAAGTGTATACATGCACTCTGCCTAATTGTGAGATGGTACCTGAGAGTTAGCCTATTTTTTAATTCATAAGTGTATACATGCACTCTGCCTAATTATGAGATGGTACCTGAGAGTTTGCCTATTTTTTTAATTTATAAGTGTATACATGCACTCTGCCTAATTATGAGATGGTACCTGAGAGTTAGCCTATTTTTTTTAATTCATAAGTGTATACATGCACTCTGCCTAATTAACTTTATTTTATTTCACAATAATATTCCATGTAAATGTAAACCTCAACCTAATACCTGAGTAAATCCCAGTCATGGGATTGGTGGATCGTTGATCACATGTCACTGAGTTATTTGTCCCAAGACAGCTGTTGCCATTTTTTTTTAAATTTAAAGAAGTTCCATTGAAGTGGTAAATGAAAATTCCATTTACTTGGTAACCAGAAATTTCTGAATTTTTGATGCAAGAAGTTAGTTTGGTTGGGATAACAGTAATCAGGATATTATACGGACAAAATGCAGCCTTTATGCAGGACTTATTTTGCCTTCAAAATAAATGACTGTTTTGCATTTATGCAGCGAAAGGGATACCTTAATTGGTGAGAGACGGAATGATCCATTCTACTTGACTTCACTTTATGGAATAGAAAGTTCCATCTGTCACCTCATGAAATTTTTCTTATCATTACATTGGCAAACGTCCAATAATAAGCACTGAATGTCATAGAAGATAGGAAACAATAACTGTATTTTATTTAAAGACTGTCAAACTAGAAGCTTTGTTGCTTTTGTTTGTATTTTGTTAGATTTTGCTACTTGACTACGTTTGGACAAGACATATCCGTATGCAATTACTGGAATGGTGAGTACTTGGAGAACTTTTTACTGAAAAAATACCTTGTATACATCTTAGCAAGCTTGTATGTCGTATTTATGTCTTGCTGGCTAATCACATGTACCGGTAGGTAGGTTGTTGCTACATCAACACGTGGAACCAGTCAGATTTGCTTCGTTGCAATTAAGCAAATCTGACTGATTCCACTTGTATTATTTTGGAATTTTGGATCTTACGGAAGGAAAACCAAGAACATATTTGACACTGATTGACTTAAGAATTCATGAGTTATAGCAGGAGAAATATTAAGGCAGGTATTTGAAGTCAGGAAAAATCACCTGCACATGCATGTAACTTTTGCTTCAGCAATGCTTCGCAGTGGTTAAGTTTTGTGAGTATTATTTTGAAAGCATTAGCTGTGACGTGGCAATGCAATTTGAATATTGGAGTAATTTTCAGGATGCCAAATGCCATTTGTATAACAATTCATTTTAGTCGGTTGTTAAAATTTTCAAGCAATGTCTGTTGGAGTGTTTCTTTAAATTTAAAGGGAAACAACTTCAGAATCTGTTCCTAATCTCCCTATGTTTAAAACTGTTTCTTGAACACTTCACTGGAAGTCTTGCTGTAAGATTTCTGCCAGTTTTGATGTAATGCCAGCTGTTTCAAAATGATGATCTGACTTATCAAATTTGCAAATAAAGTGACCACATTTTACTCCCTTCTGACTCGCCTTGTGCTTTTTCGTCTTCCATGATGTGTGCCTGCAGACCCACACCACCGCAGCATGTACTTGCAACACAACAAGTATCTACCCGTTGTCAACAATGAGACAGCCAATGCCAAAAGCAAAGGTAAAATATGTGACCCGCTCTGTGACAACGAGTCAGTGTTGTAGTCGAGACCATGACACGATCAGACACAAGTAACAGTGTGAACAATGACAAAGGAATGCTTCTTGTTGCAGTTCATTTGAATAGCTTGTGACTTGACTTCAGAGTGGAGGTCTTGTGTTGGTCTTGTATGGTCTTGTGTTGGTCTTGTATGGTCTTGTGAAGGTCTTGTATGGTCTTGTGAAGGTCTTGTGTTGGTCTTGTGAAGGTCTTAAGTGGTCTTTTGTTGGTCTTGTGAAGGTCTTGTATGGTCTTGTGAAGGTCTTAAGTGATCTTGTGAAGGTCTTGTGAAGGTCTTAAGTGGTCTTGTGTTGGTCTTGTATGGTTTTAGATGGAAAGCTTGCGGTAAGCACCATGCAAAATCTC